TTGGTACCTACTCTTATGTTTCTACGTTAGTTCCTAATCACCTGCTTGTAAAATGAAAGGATCATAGGATTAAAGAGCTAGAGAAGGCCAAGACTTTAGGGGCTAAGTGAGTCTAACACCCTCATTTGACAGAGAAGGAGCTGAGGCCCACACAAGCCAGGGTCATAAAATTAGAATGTACCAGAAATGGAATTTGAACACAGGTCTTTCTGACTCCAAGCTACCACTCTATCCACTGTGTTATGTAGGGAAAAAACAAAGCTGATTTAATTCATGGCTTTGGTTGGTGTTGCTATTTTAGGGGCATCATGATATACTTTAGGGTCAAGTAAAGGGAAGAGAATGGAAGAGAGACAAATCTGTCTTCCCTGTAGCAGGCCATCTGTAATTCAACACAAGGGGTTAATAAAACTCATTCCCTAAACTCAGGTCTGTCATTCCACTTCTGCCAAAAAGTTAGCTTTTCTTTCTTTCTCTACCAAAGCTACATTTGCCCTACCATGAGAGCTGGCATGATATGCAGGGTAAGGGGAGCAATGGAAAAGTAAAAAGACCTGGGTTCGAATCCCTACTGACTGTGTGATCTTGGTTATTTTGTGTCTAACTCTTTGAGCCTCAGCTTTCTTACTTTTTTAATAAGGATAAAAAATATTGCCTGGGTGACCTGGTGCAAAAACTCTTTTAATCTCTCCCAGTCTCCATTTACTAAATCTGTGTAAAATAAATATGCTGAGTTAGATGCTCTCTATGGTTCCTCCCAGCTCTAAGACCTAGGAAACTTATGCTATTTTTCACCACAAAGTTCGAAGGGGGAACAAATGACATAATGTTTGTAAAGAACTATTATGTAAATGTCAAGCTATTATCATCCAGTCTCTTTATACCATTCAATTCTACTATGACAATTCTTCTTTTTTTCTTACCCAACTTTACCTTCTCCTTTGGGATTAGAGGCACAGGGAGTGTGATTTCATTGGTATAAGGAACTCACAGTGAAGAAATTTGTTGTTTTACCAATGCTGATTGACACTTAATTGTGCAGTTTTTTTAGATGTATAACTTAGAGAGTCACCTGGGGCATTGAGGGATTAAATGACTTGCACAGGACCATACAGCAACAGTGCATCAGAGGCAGTATTTGAACACAGGCCTTCTTGACTCCAAAGCCTGCTGTCTATCCCTTAGACACATTTCCCTCTAATGTAGTCAAAACATTACTTGTTGGGCTGATATTAACCATCTTCTCAGATCTTGCACTCTTGATTACCAACCCCCCTTTTAAAAACTACTTTCCAAATTTAATTTTAATTTGTCCTGGAGTTCTTTAGAAATTAAAAATAGTGATAAAATAAACATATAACTTACCTGACAGTGTAGTAGAGTGACTGCTTTCTCCAAATTATCATAACCCTAAAAGTAAATGACATGCATTACAGTAGTGACTGCTTTCTCTTAACTATCACAATCCCAAAACTTTGTAAAAGTAAATGACGTGCATAAAGAGTAGTTAAAACCAAACATATGAGATGAGAAGACACAACCCTGACTAAAAGTTTAAAAAAAAGAAACAACTCATGAAAGGATATCAGAGATGTGTTCTAATACTTAAAATTTCCACACGTCATTCCTCTTCCCCCAACCACTCTGTGCCCAGTTGCAACCAGCACAAGAAAACTCATAGACTTGTGACTTAGGAGTCAACTGTAAGAATCTCCCATGACTGACTGATCCTGATTCCATACCCCCAACCCCACGAAAAAGCAACAGGCACCAATTTTGCCCTGCCATGCAAAGGGACAGGAAAATTAGTGAAGGAAGGAGGCTACGGAAGACTCAAGCTGTGCCCAGAGCTGTAAGTTAGAGGAGAAAAGAACATGAGGCCTGAGGGAAAAGGGATTCTAAGCCCCGATGGGGCCATTCCACCCCATCTGGAGTTTACTGGGACCACAACCAAGCTCCATATCTACCAAAGAAAGGAGGCTGAAGATGACCAGGGGATCCGTGTATCATGGTTGAAGGTGGAGGGACCAAAGAGTGAGGAAAGAACCCAGAGGAGATTGTCAAGGAATCCATATGAGAGAGGTCAAAAGGCCAAAAGTTTGAGAGAGAAAGCCTAAATAAAAACCTAGCTTACAAGCAGATAAATCCATAGAAAGGATGATCATAAAAATGGAAGAATGAGTAAAATCTTAAAGAGAAACCAAAAGCACACTAAGTATTATAACACAAGGAATATAGAGTTTAAGAAAGTGTCTGGCACATAATAGATGCTTAATGCTTATTGACTGACTGAATGATCCAAAATTACCTGATGAAAGATCAAATCCTCTGGAGATTATGAGACAAAAGAAAGAAATAATGGTTCAAAAGGTAACAATACGAATTTTAAAACCTGACTTTTTTTTACCTTTGATACTTTGCAAGATCACTTTCATAATCATGACTCAAAATACTCATATAGTTCTACAATCTCATTGATGTGGGTTTTCCTTCCAATGATGCAAATGACAGTCATTCCATGCCTGTCAATTCATGTTCAGTATAATTCTAATCCATGTACTCCCCCAAATTTACCACAGGGCATCCAACCAATATGCTAGCAGCCTTCCTCAGTTTCTCTTGACATTGGGATATGTAACCACAAGAATCAGTGGAGTACTGGGTTATCTGTCATTTATCCCTTGCTCTCTCACTAGCCCATTTTTAAATTCACTTATAGATGTTTTTGATAACATCCTTTTACATCACTTCTCCTTCATAATTCCTTAACTATAATGTACTCTACAACTCTCATATCATTTAATCTTTATATGACAGTCCTGGGTAGTATGTCGGACAAATATTAGCTCCATTTTACAGTTGATAAGACTGAGGCATAGATTCACTTCAGCTCAACCAATATTTATTGAGCACCTGCTATGTGTCTCTCTGGTGTCAAACATGATACTTCACCAAGATGAAGAATCCTTTATTTCAAGGAATTTAGAGTCTAAAAGAGTGATAGAGCATGAATATAATGAGACATATAGAAGTACAAATGAGTACAATAGAAGTAGATTGCGATAAGATTAAAGAAGGGACCAGAATGAAGTGCTCCAGGAAAATCAAGGATGGTAAACATATACCTATTGGGCACCTATATTTTATGACTTTCCCTTTATGGTTTAACCAAGGCTTAGAAATAATAACTATTGGGAGCAATTAGGTGGCACAGTAGATAGAATACCAGCCCTAGAGTAAGGAGGATTTGAGTTCAAATCCAGCCTCAGACACATAACACTCACTAGCTGTGTGACTCTGGGCATGTCTCTTAACCCCAATTGCCTCACAAAAAAAAAGAAAGAAATAATAGCTGTAGCACATTTACAGGCTCTGGAGCAACTCTCCCAATCCACACTGTTAAATCTGGTTCCCAAAGAAGGCTACTTATAGCTCCATCTTCCTTTAGTGTTCTAGGGCTACTCATAAAGGACTCTGGAATTTTTTTTTCTTTTTTGTTTGAAAACATTTTAATTAATTGCTTAGGTTTTCCAATTAAAAATTTAGCTTTTCTCTGTCCTACTCTTAATCCTCATTGAAAAATAAAAAGAAAACCTATGTAACAAATATGCTTGGTCAAGCAAAACACATAACCACATTGGCCATGTCTAAAAATGATTGATTATTTGCAAGTTCCCACTGCCCCATTCATTGAATATTTTTTTTAAAAATGAAATAGAATGCTCATAACAAATATGCATAGTCCAACCAAACAAATTCTGTGGGGTCCTTCTATACTATTGGTTTCCAGCACCCATCCAGTCTTCCATCTAATATCATTCACCCAATTAATAATTCCTCAACATCATTTAGACAGTGATTAGTGCCCCCATATACATTCTGAACAGTAGATAACTCTTCAATGTTATTAATAACCAATTAACATAAATTGGATTTTACAAAGGGATTTTTTTTGCTATACAAAGACAAATGTCCAAAATCAGGAACACACTCTCCTAATCTACCCTCTTGATTCCTGGGGAGAGTGGGCTCAGACTTAAAGCAGCTACTATAAACATTCATCCTCCCACCGAGTTAACTGCTGGGTGCAGCATAGCCAACGGACAAGTTACTCCCTTGCTTGCAGGCCCCAGTGTGTTGACTGCCATGTTGACTCAGGGCTGGCTACAGAGTTCACCCCTCAGGACTGGTTCTTTCCATCGCTTGATGGCTGTAGTCACTGGCAGACGCTGCTACAGATTTTTATTGCTAGATCTCTGACAACTCATCTAATCAACCTTTTCAAGCTCACAAAATCATAGCTGGTCTATTCTGTCTCTGTGATTCATTCACTTATGGAAATAATAAACACAACAGAGATAGAAAATTAATCACAACTAGCATTCCAGGCTATATGGTGGTAACAAGGTAAGGAAAAGATTATTACTATTAGCCACCATTTGCTTTTGAAGGGAGAAAGATTCTTTCTGTTCTTTCCCTATGTGTATGTACTCAGTTCCAGTTCAGGAGCTAGTTAAAAGACTTCTCGTCACCATGAAGTAAGATGATAGGAAACAGAGAATGCATTGTTCATGCTTTGAGTCAGGATATCATTCTCTTATATGAGTTGTCAGCAGGCATGGCACACTGCACATGCTCCAAGAGTCAGACCCCATTGGTCCATTCTCTGTTACGTAATAATGGTCAGTCTTCCATATGATAACTCATCTTCAATCTAGTGAGCTAACTGTCCTACTAATGTACCTCATAAAAAATATCAATGATTAATAATGTGACCTCAGCAAAGAACATGAGACTCAATTTTTCTACGTGTCTATGAAAAGTCCCTTATTTCTGGGTTTATAATTATTAATAAATATAATAGTAAAACAAGAAAAAGTATCACTGGATCATAATTTGTGCTAAAGAAATACAGATTAAATCAATGATAAATTTCACACAGTAAAGTTGAAAATAACTCTCTTTATACACTTTGTGGTCTTACTTGATTGTGTTTTTAGGTTCAGTGACAACTCCTGCAAATTGGAATGCCCCTTTGAGGACTGGAGAAAAATACCCACTGATTATTTTTTCTCACGGACTTGGAGCATTCAGGTAATGCTTGGGCAAGTAATCTGGCCTCTTTTAGGAGCAACCATTTGCTTTTTTCCCCTCCATAAAAGAGCAGCAAGGTCTTAAGCTCAATGCTGTCCCAATTCAATCAGTAATTCTTTAAGTTGATTATGAAGTCTTCTCTATGGAATTCAGTAAAACATTTATTAAATATGTGTTAATGCTCAAGGGCCCTGTGTTAAGTGACAATAAGGCAAAAAGTAATAGTCCCTGTATTCAAGGAAGACACATTCTACAAGTATGTTGTAGCACGTACACAGATAAGTGTAAAATGGGGTATTTTGAAGAGGGAGTGAAATCAACATTTATAGGTTCTTCTTATGTTTCAAGCACTGTGTTATGTGCTGCGAATACAAATAAATACAGAAAGACAGTCCCTGACTTCAAGGAGTTTACATTCTAAGTTGCTTGTTCAGTCATTTTTTAGTCATGTCCAACTCTTCATGACCTCTTTTGGGGTTTTCTTGGCAGTGGTTTACCATTTCCTTCTCCAGCTTATTTTACAGATGAGGAAAGCCAAGATTAAGTGACTTGCCTAAGGTCACACAGCTAAGAAATGTCTGAGGCCAAATTTGAACTCAGAGGAATATTTCTGACTTGAGGCCCAGCAGTCTATCCATTGGACCACCTAGAGAATTATTATATGTAAAGGGGAGCTAAAAAGGCTGAAGGTGCAGTGGGGGGAAGGGAGAAAGGTAACCACAGAAGGGCGTGGTGGCAAAGTCCTAAGACTCAGAAAAGGAATCAGGGAAGGAGTGAAAGATGGCTGGCCTGGGAACTTCCTCCAAATGAAAGTTCCAGAAGGAACTCACCAGTGGGAAGAGGGGGCCACAAGAGTAGAGGGGATTTTCTAGGATGAGAAGGCATGGTATGAGAAGTCTGAGGAGTCAGGAGGAGAGGGGGATCCATAAAAAAGCACAAAGAGCTAGGTGTCCATCTGTGTTGAGAGTGGTGGTGAGATGATCAGGGAGGGCTTCACAGAGGTGGCACCTGACCTGAATCGTGAAGGAAGACAAGGACTCTGGAAAGTAGAATTGAGAAATCAATATATTCCATATGTTGGAGAAGACTTCCTGTGACAAGTGCTTAGCAAGGTGGGAGGAGGAATCTTGAGTTCAAGAACAGTGGTTATACAGCTTAGCTAGAATGCAAGGTTTATGAAGGAGAGTAGTAGTATAAAATAAGACTGGGGGCAGCTAGTAGCACAGTAGATAGAGCACTGGCCCTGGAGTCAGGAGGATCTGAGTTCAAATCCAGCCTCATACACGTAATACTTATTAGCTGCATGACACTGGGCAAGTCACTTCACCCCATTGCCTCCCCCCCCAAAAAAAATAAAATAAAAAATAAGGCTGGAAAGGCAGATAAGAGTCCTTTTTTAATATTTGGGGAAAGCCTTTAAATGCCAGACTGAGTTTGTATTTTATCCCAAATGGTTTTTGAGTTGGGGTCTAAGTTAGTTCTCCTATCTTACTCCCCTCCCTGTGGCGTGAAGAAATTCCCAGTAAGGAGGGAGGCATGGAAGGCACTCCAATCAGCAGCTGATGCTCTCAGAATCACTTCCCCCCACCCTCTTTTCATCTTCCCCCCCCCCCTTCAATCTTCCCCCCCTTTTCTGCGGACCCTAAGATTTTAGGCAATCAAAAAAAAAAAAAGGCCATTGGAGAATGGACATCAGAATTTTTTTTAATGCAACAACAAATCTTGGTTCTAGAGGACTGATGATGCTGTAAGCCTCAAATAAGATAATGGATGTAAAGGTCTTTATAAACTTAAAGCATCATATGTTAGTTTTTAAAAATATATTTTAGGGAGGGAGTTAGACAATCATATATCGATGTAGGGAATTCCTCTTATGGATAATTCCTCCACCACTTCCTGTGTGCTACTCTTTTGTAACTTAAGAGATTGAGGAAGTTGTTTGGCTACCAAGAGGCTAAGTGACTTGCATAGGATCATGTGACACATATACTTTCTCTATGCATCGTGGGCAGGACTTGAATCCAGAGCTTCCTGACTCCAAGGCTGGTCTTATTCACTACACCATGTTCAACCTCTTCAGCTTCAACTATAATTATTCTTATGCTTTGCTTTCTGTGTTGTTTGGTTGTTTCCAACTCTTTGTGACCCCATGGACCATATCATACCAACACTGTCAATGGGGTTTTCTTGGCAAAGATACTGGGATGGCTTGCCATTTCCTTCTCCAGTACTAGTTCCAGTATATGCTATGCTCTTGGATGTTTCCTCTTAATAAAGCCATCTGATAAATATTTTAAAGAAGTGATAAAGCTAGTGAATGTCAGAGTTTGAGTTGCTAACTTGAGGAGAATGGAAACATTTGGAGTGATTGCTATAGAAATGTAAGTAAAGAGCAAATAGAATGATTTTTTAAAATGTTTAGCAGCAGAGGGTGGTCCAGTTGTGGTTTAGAAGCATAAATTTTTAGTGGAGACTGTTGTCCCATTTTGTGTTTACATTTACTGGCAATGTCAGAAGCCCTTAGAACAGAGAAATCACATGGTAGGGGTAACTCAGGGTTAAGAATTAATCAGGTTGGGTAACATGGAAACTTCAGGAAGCAGAATGATCTAAGGCATTGGCAATTGCATAGGTAATTACTAGGTTAAAAAAGAGACCCTCGACCAATGAAGATCAGCACCTTCTCTGCAACTTAGAGTCTTGAGGAGTCACCTAGAACACTGAGAGATTGAATGATTTACTCAGGGTCACACAGCCAGTATGTTTCAGAGGTGGTACTTGAACCAAAACGTCTTGGCTGGCTCCCTATCCACTACGCCATGCTGCCTCTCTAACACACCAGCGAGCACATTGCTGAAATAGCTGACATTGGGCACCCAGGCTGAGTTGGGCTAGAAGAGAGCCCAAAGGTCATTGATTCAATGGGAGAATCAAAAAGAGGCCAGAAGGTTGGAGCTGCTAACGAAGAAGGCCATGAGCAGATTAAGTAGGGGTGAGGGGATATTACACAGATGGATGAGAGGTTTTGGTCAAGGAGGGGGAATTTCAGAGTTCAAGACCTCAATGTAAAACACTTTCCAATGATGACAAGGTTGAAGATGTGGCCTTGGTGGCAAGTAGCTAAGTAGGGTGGAAATGAAAGATCATGAGAGCTGAGGCGGTGGAGAAACTTTTAGGCCAGATTGTAGTAAGGGTTAGGAATGATGCCAAGGGTGATGATTAGGGACACAGAAGGGGAGTGAGCCAGAAGATGATGTTATTATGGAAGGTACTTGAGTATCATGGCTACCAGTAGACTGAGACTAGGTTAGGGAAGAGCATAAGCTGAAGACATGGACTTCCAAATAGTGACCTGGGCAGGGCAGTGGTCTGAAAGAGGCAGTAAATAATAGCAAGGAATATATTGACCCTTCCTCTCCCTATGAATTTAGTCAAGCAGTTAGAGGAGCAGCCTCCATTGGAAAGAGTTGCAAATAGTGCCATCCATTGATGGATAAAAAAGAACAAACAAACAAATATATAACACACACATATACAAACACATACATATGTGTGCATGTATGTATATTATATATACATATAAGCATTAAGAGATAACTTGGTGTTATTTCTTATCACAGGATGACCACCTAACTTCCTAACCCTAAGTTAAACATTCAATTAAATGAGACCTCAGTGTGTGTCTACAATATTATGGGTTACGTGCCATGATATTTTGAGAAATTCTTATACTTAGGCCAAGTATAATTGGTTCTTTGTCAACCTTCTATTTTTAAGGACAATTTATTCTGCTATTGGGATTGAACTGGCATCTCATGGGTTTATAGTTGCTGCTGTAGAACATAGGTATGTATGTGAATGTCATTTATTGTATGAGATTTCTTTTTTAGCCAACTCAAAAAGACATTTTTGATGTACATTTTTCTTATTAGTTGCATTGATTTTTCTATGTGTAAAACTTTTTAAAAGTTCATGTAATCAGAAATATTTTTTTAAAAAAAGGTTGTTTGGTGGTTATAGCCATACCACTGACTATCCATGAACCTTAGAGAGGAATTTTCAACTCTGGTTTAAAATGTGTGTATAGTGGATGGTACACAAAGTGCTGGAGTTGGAGTCAGGAATACTTGAGTTCAAATTGGACACTTCATAACTTTGTGACCCTGGGAAAATAATTTAACCTCTGTTTGTCTCAGTGTTGTCCTCTGTAAAATGGGGATGATAATAGCACAGCACCTACCCATTCAGGTTTGTTGAGAGGATCATAAATAATAGTTGTAAAGAGCTTTGCAAACCTAAAGTGCTATATAAACCCTAGCTACTTAGTTAGATAAAAAGAATGATTAGATTATGCTGGAAGATCACAAGATCATTATTTAGAGCTGAGAAGAAAATATTTGTAAAAATGCTTTGCAAGTCTTAGAGCATTATATAAATGTATTTACTTATTGTTGTTATCATTGTTGTTCAGTTGTTTTCAGTTGTGTCTGACTCCTCATGACCCTGTTTGGGGTTTTCTTAACAAAGTTACTGGAGCAGTTTCCCATTTCTTTCTCCATTTTACAGATGAAGGAAATGAAGAGAACAAGGTTAAGTGACTTGCCCAGGGTCACACAGCTAGTAAGTGTCTGAGGTCACATTTGAACTCATGAAGATGAGTCTTCCTGACTCCAGGCCTGGTGCTGTATTCACCGTGCCACCTAGTTGTCCCATCTACTTATTAGATAGCTATAAACTATGATTAGAACAAGATGAAATCATAGATTTGGCGCTGGAAGGGAACTTATATCTAATCCAACCCTTCACATTTTATGGATGAGGAAACTGAGGCCAAAGTGATTAAACCTAAGGTCACTCAGAAAGCAGTTATCAGAGCTAGAATTTGAACCCCATGTCCTCTGACTCTGAAACCAATGTTATTGCTACTTCACCCCAAACCATTAGTCTGAGAAGGCGTAGAAGGTTTTTGCTAATTTAAAGATATGTATTCTATATAATACTGCCACACACAAGGATGTTTCCTAGTAATGTCACTAAAACATAACCATGCCCCAACTTCACGTCCACTAGGCACATTACAGGGGAGATGAGCCTAGTTCAGCATAGTACTCTATTCTACACCACACCTTCCATGAATGGGTCTTGCTTTGCCTGACCCGTGCTTCCACACCCATGAGGCAGCTATACTGTTACTGGACACTCCCACCCCCCATCATTGTATTGCCTAACACCATGTTTGCATAAGAGTACTAGTCCTCAGGCTGGTATGGGTAGGTTCTTTTAGAGCAGAGGTTCCCAAACTTATTTGGCCTACCACCCCCTTTTCAAGAAAAAAAATTACTCAGCACCCCCCCAGAAACCCTTTAATGGTTTTTTTTTTGAAATTTGCATCATTTCAAAGAAAATGTTATATTTTTAAATGATGCAGCTTAAATTTAATAATTTATTATAAGTTTATGGGTTTTTTCCTGCATTGAAATTTTGATGATGCAATATTGTATTATGTAACTTTTCATATTGTATTGTAAACAAGTCATTACTTGCACATATTCCTGCTGAGGCATGTTGGTCTTCCTCACAATACTCAACACACCCGCCTGCCAACACTTGCTTGTTAAGAAATGGCGGACCTGACCACTGATAGGTTATAGCTTGCATTTTTTGTGTTTGTTTGGAAAATAATGTAATCACTGTGACTTTAACTCTGTTACACAACAGACGAAACATGTACAGATGTTTTTTCAAAACTTTCTTATCTTCTTTTCTTTCATTATGCTTCCACTGCCCCCTTAATTTTATTCAATGCCCCCCAACTGTACCTGAGGCTACTACCACAGCCCCTCCATCATTCCAGCACTCTCCAGGGGGCAGTACTGCCCACTTTGGGAGCCTCTTCGAGGGATTTTTTTTTAATTTTAAAATCAAAGCACTAGAATGAAAAAGAGCGGGAAGGTTGGGATGGAAGTAAGAAAAGTTGATATGAGGAGAAGGGAAGAATAAGCAAATGGCATGATGCTTTTTCCATATCATAGAGATGAATCAGCATCAGCAACTTTTTACTTCAAAAATGAATTTGCTGCAGAAAGAGATAATAAGTCCTGGATTCCCTACAAGCATCTCCAGTCACAGAATATGGAGTACCCACAACGCCATAAACAGGTATGTTCCAGGGAGAAGCTGAATAATGACAATGTAGTCATGCACATAGGTATGCAGTTTAATTTAATATCCCACATTCAAACTATGGTCTGATTTCCTGTTCTCCATGACCAAATTCTCAGGACTGCTCCTTATAAAATTTCCATTTCATAATGTAAACAAAAGTAACCAAAAATCCTGGCAGATGGTACCATACTTGTTGGGAATTTTCTGCTTGGAGTCCAGACCTGTGATGTCATCCATGTGTGGAAACTCTCTCCCCTGATGCAGATCAGCAACGAATCTGCACTTTACTTAGCCTTAGAGAATTGCCTGGGACACTAAGGGTTGAAATGACTTGTCTTTGATCACACAGCCAATATGTGTCAGAGACTCGAACTCAGGTTTTCTTGACTCTGAGGCAGGCTGTCTGTCCAATAAGCCACATTGCCTCTTATTTGTTGTACCAGGCACTCTAATGTTGTTTTATTTTATTTTTAATAATATTTTATTTTTCTAATCACATGTAAAGATAACTTTTATAAGATAATTTTTTATATTTGAGTTCCAAATTTTTCTCCTCCCTTTTCCCCCTCCCTATTCCCTAAGATGCAATTTTATATAGGTTGTATATGAGGTACTCTAATTTTAGAAGTTTAATTGTTAGACAATAATTGGATAGGCTCCAAAAAGCTAGCTTTTTCTCTACTGTTAAACAAACCACCACATGTTACCTAGAAAAGATCATTTTGGTGTCTCCATCTTTTTTTTTTTTTTTGCATCTCAAGCAAAACATAAACTTTTATATTATTCTGTTTTTGTGAAATGGGGCTGTTTACTCCTTATAACCATGCCCAGGTACTTCAAAGAGCAGAAGAATGCTCTAAAGCTCTTAATTTGATGCTTGATATTAATGATGGGAAAACAGTGAAGAATGTTTTGGATTCTCCGTTTGATTTGCAGCAACTAAAGGTGAGTCAATAAAGCCAACTTTCCTTTTTTTGTTTTTTTAAATTCAATCAGTCTATAAACACTTATCACATGCCTATTATGTGCCAGGCACTGTGCTAAGCACTGGGGAAGCAAAAAGAGGTGAAAGATATTAAGATTGTGAGTTTTTGTCCTCAAGGAGCTCACAAGCTAATGAAGGAGGCAACAGGCAAACAAATATGTACTGATAAGCTATATAGAAGATAAGTAGGAAATAATTAAAAGAGGGAATTTAGAGGGGTTGGGAAAGGCTTCCTGTAGAGGATGAGATTTTATTTGGGACTTGAAAGAATCCAGGGAAGCCATTTGGCAGAAATGAGGGAGGCAGAACATTCCAGGCATGGGGAACAGCCAGAGAAAATGCCCACATCCAAGAGATGGAGTGTCTTGTTTATGGAACATCAAAGAGGCTAGTGTCACATATATACATGTAATATCATCATATTACCTGGGTAGAGGTCAGAGACTGGACCTGTGATTTCACTGGTATAGTGAGTGAGTCAGTAAGTCAACAAGCATTTATTAAGCACCTTCTGTATGTCAGGCATTATGCTAAGTGTTGGGGAAACAAAGAGGGACAAACATAACCCCTGCTTTCAAGGACTTCACAGCATAGACAATTTCCTCTACTAATGCAGGTCAGGATCTTCTCTACAATTTATAAACCTAGAGAATTACCACAAGCACTAAGAGGTTAAGTAACTAGCCCAGAGTCAGTGTCACTTATCCAGCACCGTAAGTAGGACCTGAATCTGGATCTTCATGTTTTTGAGGAGACAGTTAGGTGGTGCAATGGACAGAGCACTGGGCCTGGAGTCAGGAAGACTCATCTTCTTGAGTTCAAATCTGGCCTCAGACACTTCCTAGCAGTGTGACCCTGGGCAAGTCACTTAACCCTGTTTGCCTCAGTTTTCTCATCTGTAAAATGAGCTGGAGAAGGAAATGGCAAACCACTCCAGTATCTCTGCCAAGAAAATGCCAAATGGGGTCATGAAGAGTTGGACATGAGTGAAATAACTAAACAACAATAACAGATGTTTTAGAGGCAGGCTTTCTATCCAGTACTCCACACTGTCTCTCGTAATAGGTATTTAAGCAATACTTACACACTAGATATACACTAGATGCTTAATAAACACTTGTTGGACTGAATCAGGAGTCAATGCATTACAGGCATGAAGGAGGCTTGTAAAAATGCAAAGGTAGGAAATGGAATTCTAGGAACAACTAGCAATTCAGTTTGGCTGTAAACTGTGTGAAGGGGAATCAGTGTGAAAGCTGAAAGTCAGATTACGATTGAAGGGCCTTGAAAGCCAGGCTGAAGATTTTGTGGTTTTTTTTTTCCCCAATTAGTGTCCGTAGTAAATAACTGAAGATTTCTGAAGTGACATGCTCAGACCTGTGTCTTAGGAAGATGATTTTGGCAGCTGTGTGAAGGACAGAGTAGAAAGTGGGACTTCAAAATGGGGAGTCTAATTAAGAAAAGTCAAGGTGAAAGCTGGATGACATCATGAACCAAGGTTCAGATATAAACCTTTGCATGTAGACATGCAAGTGGAGAGAAGGTAATAGATCTCATAAAAGTAGAAATCTAAGATTTTGGCAACTAATTAAATGGGGAAGGACTTGGGGGTAGAAGGGAGAAGAGAAAGGGAAAATTCAAGGAGGTAACCTTGGAGTTATCCTTGAATTTGATTGCCATGTTTATATGCAAAGGTTCATGTCTGAACCTTGATCCAAGGCCCTGGGAAAACAAAGGTGAGACCAAAAAAATCAGTTCCTACTCTCATAGAGCTTGCACTGAACATTTACACAGAAAAGCAAGGACAAGATAATTTGAGGAAACTCTAACAACTAGCAGGATGAAGAAAGGTGTCTTCTAGAAGGTAGCACCCAAGTTGAACCTTGAAGAAAAACCAAGGGCACTGAGAGGTGGAGGTGAGGAGGGTGAGTACTCCAGGCATAGGGGACATGGAGTTATGGAAGGGGGACATATGGTCTGTGTTCAAAGAACAACAAGTAAAATGGGAGGATGCATTGAGGGGAGTAATGTGAAACACATTGAGAAAAGTAGGTTGGAACAATGTGAAGGGTTTTAAATTCCAAAGTGAGGAGTTTCTTTTTGAGCCTAGAAGCAATTAAAAATTGCTGAAGATTCTTGAATAGAGGTGGGAGGGTTACATGGTCACACCTGTGCTTTATGAAGATAGTTTTGGCATCAGAGTGGAGGATAGATTGGTGAGTTGCTGTTCATTCATTTTTCAGTTGTGTTTAACTCTTTGTGATCCCATTTGGGGTTTTCTTGGCAAAGATGCTGGAGTGGTTTGCCATTTCCCTCTCCAGCTCATTTTACAGATGAGGAAACTGAGGCACACAGGCTTAAGTGACTTGTCTATGGGTCATACAGATAATAAGTGTCTGAAGCCAGATTTGAACTTGGGGAGATGAGTCTTCCTGACTGCAGGTCTGTGACTGTATCCACTAAGCCACCTAACTGATTAGATTGGAGAGGGAAGAGAATCGGAGCAGGGAGTTTGAAATAATGTGGTGACTGTGAGTGAAGAACAAGGCTTGGAAGTGAGAGATGTGGCTACAGAATGGATAAGCCTGGGAAACTGATTATTTATGGTGGTGAGAGAGAATAAAGTTTTCCTTATGTGTTGTAGATACCACCTTCCATCTAGTGCCCAGGTTCAAAATTCTGGGCAACTAGATATGGATGTTGATGCCTTCAACAAAAATAAGGAAATGTGAAAAAGGAAAAGGATTTGTGTGTGTGTGTGTGTGTGTGTGTGTGTGTGTTTTGAGGGGCATAGAAGGAATAGGTGGGATCGGTGTGTAATAGAAAGTAATAGAACTTGTGTTGAGTTTCAAAGTTAGATGTAAGATTGGAATGTAGGAGAGAGATTAGGGCTGATTATATACAATTGGGGATGATAATTGAACTCATGGGAACTAATGAGATCACTAAATATATCAAGGTAAGTTAAAGCAGATCAGGCATTCTCACGTCTTCAACATATTTTTTTCTCTTATAAGAAATCAAATTGATTGAAAAAATGCTTATTGAATGAATGACAGCATGAATATGAATAATGAAACCATTTCATAGTTTCTTCTATACTTCAAATGGTATCATATAAAAGCTGTGAGTTTATCGTGCTTTCTACACAGGATGCTATTGACAGTAAGAAAATAGCGGTAATGGGACATTCCTTTGGTGGAGCCACAGTTCTTCAGTCTCTTGGTGAAGACAAGAGATTCCAGTAAGTAAAATAAAAGCAAGAAGATTATAATTTTTAATGGTATGATTTAATTTTGATTTAATTATGACATGCAAGGGAGCTCATGAAGCTTTATAGTCTATCCTCGTTATTAAGTGCTCTATGGAAAGCATCTGGAGCAGGGGGTTCTCTATGCACCCCAAAAAGTGTTATTCAGAATCCTTTCTTAACTTGTTCTGCTGTTTAACACAGGAGGTAGTTCATCCTTATGTTATTTGTTCTACGGAGTTCTTGTCTATAATGGGTGAGAAATAGGAATGTAAAGCTTATCTTGTACATGTATAAATATTTGAACTTTTAATTTAAAACACTTTAGGTTTTAAAGTTGGGGAGGCACGGCTGTAATAGGGCACTAGCCTTAAAAGTCAAGAAGAATTGGGTTCCAATCCTGCTTCAAATACTTACTAGTTAAGCAACCCTGGGGAAGTAATTTTACCTACCTCTGCCTCAGTTTCTTCATCTGTAAAATGAGAAGGTTGGACTTGTAGCCACTAAGGGGCCCCTTCAAAGCTCTACAATCTATGATAGTAGGTTGGATTTGTGTTTATAGCATCCATGGAGCCCTCTCACTTTGGCCTATCAGTCGGGTCCACCACATCTGGTCCATCTCCAGGTTCCAGGCAGTTTGTATAGGTCAGAATCTTTTCTAAACTATAGTTGATAAGCCCCTTTCCCCCAATGTGCTTTATTTTTTTTTATCAGTCAACTAGATCACACTCAGTTCATAATAATGGGATTTAAAAAGCAATGAAAATAAAGTAATAATATAGCATTTCACCCCCTCTTCTGCTCCCCAAACTTTGAACTCCATCTCCCACAGGTATACACATACACACACACTTGGTGGATAGTATACCTTTATAGGTATCATATATGGGACATCCACACATAGCTAGCACATTTACATTGAAGGGGACAACTTACTCCTCCAAAACTGCAAAGCTACACATATCTACCACTGATGTCTCTGGCACTTCTGTGTGCCTGATAATGCTTTTCTTATTGCTCTCCACCAAGTGTTGAGCTCTGCTATTCTCTACAAAGCATTGCTTTTCACTTTTCTCCTCCAAATGTTGCTCTCTATGGCCATCTGCCAACTTCAGCTGGCCATCAACTCTAATTTTGGTCAACTCTAAATTTGGTAATACCTTGTACAATGCAAGTAGGGGTTCTGTGGTTACACCTCTTTCAGCACCTTTTTTTAAAGATAATCCCAACATCCACTTGTGGGCAGGGCAGGGTGCTCTGGCTGATAAGCCTTTCCCCTGGATGAGAGAGGCTATCTTTCTCAATCTGCTTTTTTTCTGCCTCCTTGTGTGCTTCAGCTCTAGTCCCTAGGAGAACACGTTAGAGGTATCTGCAACTCAATTCAATCCTTCAGTTTTTTGGAGGTGCTATGATTGGCAAGCCTCATCCCTACATGGAAGGCAACAATTATCCTCAATCAACATTCTCAATAACTGTGAACCTTGCTTCAATGAGTTTCTCAACTAGGTTCCTCTCAGCCATTGACTAACAAAAATCCCTTGTATTCAGCCTGACTGCACCAGGAAGGACAGGATCATATGCTGAGATCAGGTCTGCTTTTGTACCTTTTCTTAGACTTTTCTGTTACCTGCTTTTCATCTTCAGAAGTCTACTCGGCCTTTTTACATCAACTCGTTAGCTGAGGTAAATCTCCCCAGTACTCCACTTCCTTAATAGAGAAGGGATTGAGAAACAGCCAAGTATGAAAACTTTTAATTTCAGTCCAGCTGCCCCTCCCTTCTCCAGCAACTGCCATGGTGGCCAGAAACGGGTGTTCAGTACAGACAGCACTACTGAGCTTAACTGTAGAATTCCAAGAGGATCTATGACTTTCGTCCCTCTTCTCCCCACAGTATATCACAGCTTTTCTGTCTGATCTCCTTCCATATTAGCCCTGTTTTGCAAATGAGGAAACTGAGACTCAGGTCTCAATTAGTCAAAGCTAGGATCATAGCTCCAGTCTTAACTGCATGCTCTTTTCTGTTGCACCATTCCATTCAGATAGAGGGATGAGCCCCCTATAGAGTCAACTGCACACTTAGTGTATGTGGACTGAATTACATATACAACTATTTCTCATTCCTTAAATGTCATCTCAACATCCATGAATTCTCATTCTGGATAGCTTTTATACGGCGAAATCTCTACCAATTATTTCTTTTCAATTCTGTCACGATTTCTCAATGAATATTATCTATTTTATGCTAAAAAGACCCTTTCTAAAATTGTACCTGAAGATGATTGTGAACTAGGTATCAAGATACTTGGGTTCTTGCTTCCAGCTCTGTCACTAATTAATTCTGGATCCTTGGACAAATCACTAAAATGCTCTATGTGCCTCAATGTCCTTTATAAAATAAGGAGGATGAGAGGATCTCTAAGGTCCTTTCTAGCTCTTTAACATTTTATGAATGTTAATTATGAATAATTATGAATTCTATGAATGTTAATGTTTCGTATTTCTGTGAATTCCAGCAAAACTTCATTATAAAGTATATTAAGTCATGGCATGATTGGAGTTAACCTGAGGAGGGAAGTAAGCTCCTATCTCCCATTTACACAGGAAATAATAATGTATCTTGCTAGATATAACACCAAAGTCATTTAAATGACTACTATTATCCTTGTCTCCTAACACTAGGAATTCTGAACTGACTCTCATGTCAATTAAGGTCTAAGATCTTTTTCCTTTTTTTTTTATTGTCAATGAAATGTTCCCAGATGTGGTATTGCCCTGGATGCATGGATGGTCCCTTTAAGTGATGAGTTGTATAATAGAGTTCCCCAGCCACTCTTCTTTATCAACTCTGAAAGATTCCAGACTCCAGAAAATGTCATGAAAATGAGAAAATTCTACTTACATGATAAAGAAAGAAAAATGATCACAATCAAGTAAGTATCACAAAACAGTTCTATTTGATTTCCTATAACAGAAACTTTAAGCTTGGGGGGAAAAAACAACAAAACATTTGAGATACATTGGTGACCACAGCAGAATTCTAATGTTGAAGCAGTTATTAAGACTTCATCTTTTGTTGATTATGGGAAAAGACATTGGGGGAAAAAAATCAATGTCTAGATAGACTTAGAAGTGAATAAAAATCACCCAATATGTGCAATTACATTTTGCATTAGGATACATATTATTTTTGTTGTTCTATGTGACACCCAAATTAGTTAGGTATCAAGATATTGTTTTGTCATTTTTTTTTCAGTCATGTCTGATTCTTCATGACCCATTTTTTGGGTTTTCTTGGCAAAGATACTGGAGTAGTTTACTATTTCGTTCTCCAGCTCATTTTATAAATGAGGAAACTGAGGCAAACAGGGTTAAGTGACTTGCCCAAGGTCACACAGCTAGTAAGTGTCTGAGATTTGGTTTGAACTAAGGTCTTCCTGACTGCAGGCCCAGCATTCAACCCACTGCACTACTTTGCTGCCACCTAGCTGTCACCTAGCTGTCTAGATATTAGCTGTCAGGTTATATTAAGCAGTTATTTAGGTTTTATCAAATCTAATACATAGTATCACCTATGGATGTGAGATTTAAGGAACCTATTTTCCCCAATGAAGTAATTATAAATGGGTATTAAAATGTTAAGCAAGCCCGCAAAAATAAAACCTATTTAATGTATCAGAATCATAGGATGAATGGTCACATGGTATATTAGGTTGAGAACCAGCCTTGTAATTAAGAAAACCTGGTTTAAGTATAGTTTCTTGATAGCCTAGTATCATGTGTTAGTAACCATAAACAGAACCTCCTGGTATCACCAGAAAACTCTCTTAAGACTGCCCAGAGCAAATGCTATTCAGCATTAGGAATTTTCCTCAGCTCCACATACCAATTAAATCATGGAACAAAGAAGAAAAGAAGAAAAAGTGTACAAAATAATAGATTTTCAGAAATGAGAGGGTGCTTAAGAATCATCGAGTATTCTTCCCTCCTCTTCCCCTACTACCCCTATTTTGCAGATAAGGAGACTGAATCCCAGAAAGATTAACTGATCTGTGCAAGGTCACATAGCTAGTTATTGGCCAAATTAGAACTAGACTCTAGGTCTCCTGACTCCGAGTTCAATGCCTTCCCACAATACCACGCTGACTATCCAGACAGAAGTAGAGATACCAGAGAGATTTCATCATCTTCTTTTTGCAAGTGGAATGCACTCTCATTGATCTCTGTTTCTTAGTGTACCAGTAATACCATTTCAGCTGTACCTCATTTTAAAGACTGCTGTTAAAGAAATGTCTCTATTGTAATCCACAGAAATAGAGATCTCTTTAAGTTGAACAGTTGGATTAGAGGAAGGATGGTAGGATGTATCCTGATTATAGAAGTATTGAATAACTCTTAAGGGCCAATTTAGCTTTAGGCTTCATCTCTTGGTGATTCTATAGCATACTGAGAGGTAGAGTTGAAATCAACAAGGAAATAAATGGCTGGGATGAGCCAGGATTCTTAGTGAAATGCCAAGACCACACAATAACATCTGGCAAAAGTACAAGCAAATATCCATGTGACAGTTTAGTCAATTTTCAAAGTAGGAAGATTCCTATTCAGGAATGGGATGGAGTAGAGGCCTCTAACTTGGATTCTATGATTCTCAATGTTGCTAGGAAACAAAGACAAACTAACACCTAACTAAGCAGGTAAGGTGACTGCCTTCAGTCACAAGCCTGCATTGGGGTAACAAAGCAATGTTAACCGTGGAGACAAAATTATTTTTGAAACTATCAGACCCAAGAGTATTACATTTTGAGACATCAGATAGATAACTATAGGATGAAGACATCCTATAGTTTAAATACAGTTCCTTAATTTAATTAATATACTTCCGTTTTAGCATTAAGTTGCCTTCTATGGGTCCAAGTGAGGGTTTGGGGTAGGAGTTTTTTCCCCTCCTAATTTACATGGTAAGGTGATCCTTGAAATTAATTTTGGAGAAACCTAAAAAGTATTTAATTATTCTCACATCCTCTCAAAAGGCGAGCAAGTTGTAGGTCATTAGAAATGACCTCTCTTTCTTCAGCATCTTCTTGGTTATCTTTTAAGTTTCTCCAAAATTCATTTCAATGATCACCTTACCATATAAATCAGGAGGGGAAAGCAAAACCATTTACCCCATACCCTAACTTGGACTCATGAGAGGCAACTTTATACCGAAAGGACAGAACATTATTTTCTAGGGAAAATTAATTATTTTGCTTCTTTCTAGGCTAGGGCTAGAAACTATACCTCCTAAATTCCAGTCTCTAAAACATGCTACCCACACTCTTTGATCATTACATGTAGCTTGTCAAGATGCCACTGAATAGATTTACAGTACAAGTTTAGGTATTCCAGTTCTTTTCTTGCAACAAATATCTATAGAGCAGGGCATTTTGAGTTTTCCTGGAGGGAAGATAAGATTTACATTCAGCCACTCTAATTTTCTCATCCTTTGTGACCAAAGGCATCTATTATCTATCTATCTATCTATCTATCTATCTATCTATCTATCTATCTAT